ATATATAGATAGAGTTTGTTTTGTTTTTCTTTGTTTTTGTAGTTAAGGATCCAGTTGTCCTTGCATTTCAAAGTGAAAGTGAACTTTCAGATCCGGGGGATTTTATTGTCGTTGCCTTGGAATGGATTGCTGATAATTATCTTGATCAGCAGTTTGTGCAAGCATCAGATCTTACAAGCTTCTGCGGTGTGTGAGATATGTCAGCACTTGAGGTTGAGCGCACTTTCAGTCTCAGTGGACATTGATACGCCAACACTTAGCTTGCAGCCAAGCACTTAACACTGAAGTTCCACACAATGTGTGTGTGTGTGTGTATGTGTGTGTGTATACCCGCTAACATAATGTATCTCAAAGCTGAAATTCAGCACGGGATTAACGTTTGATGAGGTTTCCTTGAATTTAATAAGACATGTCAAGAGATTGTGTTGCTCGACAGCATCGATGTAAGATAATACATGTTATGTTATGGAGCAAGAGGTGAACAGTTTCCTTGTTAAGCCTTTTTTTTTTTCCTCCGCCTTCATATGAAGTGATATAAACCTTTGCTTCTCAACTGCTCTCACCTTGGGACTCACATTTTCCCCACAACCGACCAAATAAAAAGTTATTTTTACTTTTCATCTTTCCTATCTATTTTCAAGAGCCGAAGAATAGAGCTTTGTTTTTAGCACTTGTCCTCATAACGTCGCAGTTGAGCTGGCACCTGTCCCTGCTGACTTTGGGCAAGAGGCAGAGTGCAGTGGGAGGAAAAAAAAGCACGTGAACCCTTTTGGAATTGTAACTGCGCAAATTGGTCAGAAACTATAGTCTCACTTTCATCTAAATCACAAGAATAAACCAACAGGTTCACATACTTTTTTCCTCTCATGCTCTACTTCTCTGCACAGGTCGGCAGGAAGCTAATTGTAACTGAGCATCTCCTTGGGAAGAGCAGCAGCTAATTTGTTTTTAATTGGTCAAATATAATGCCTTACAGCCCACAGGTACGAGATTGAAATGATTTTGCGGCCCACTCGCTGGCACACGCGGCCCAACTTTGGGCCGTGGCCCCATGGTTAAGAATCTAACTCAGTCCATAAGGCCATTGATATACAAAATGAATATGAACGAATGAATATATTGATACCTTGGGAAGGGAAAGGGGTTAAGCGAGTTCTAATGAGGTGACGACTGTAATAAAAACGTTGTCTGTTGGCTCCCAATAGAACAGCTCAAAATCCTGGCTCCTTATCAGCAAGGTTTCGTAGCCGATAACCACCATCACCGCTGAGAAAATGCATCTCATCGCTTCCTTTTCTTTGAGCCCTTGTTTTTCCTCCTCGGCCTCCTCCTGGCTCAGTAAATGAGCGTGATCCCTTTCAGATGTGATTCAATTAATTTCTCTTAGATTTAATTACAAGCGATAGAGTCCAAATTATCACTCTTTCCCTGATAGGGGGTCCACGATTCCTAACAAGCGTCCTCTAGTGAGTTAGGAGAGACTTAATTACGGTTTTAGTTGAGTTTCCCCATGACTTTGCCCCTTCTCACTTGAGTATCCTCACGTAATCTCTTCTTGCTCGTATGCGCGTCCTAATTGTAGGAGCAGACACCGTCTATCCTTCCAGCGCCCGACAGTTGAACTTTCTATCGCATGTCTATTTGCAACGGTACAAGCATTCAGTAGTTTGCAATGAACCTACAAAATGGTGGCAAGTGAAACAGCTCTGTCATTCTTAACCTGGGTTCGATCGAACCCCAAGGGTTCTGTGAATCGGTCTCAGGGGTTCGACGGAGCCTCCGCCAAGGAGGTTAAGGCACACCTGACTCAACATGTCATTTAGTTATGCCACACCCACATGGCCTTCACTGGCTGCAGATGATCACATGACATTGCTTGTCCAATCAGTGCTGCGGGAAATTTCGTTCGCTCAGGAGTCAACGTGTGACTGTCATGATAGTACGTCATGTGATTTTTTTTTTTTATGTTTTAACACATGCTATGTCGAGCAAAATTAGAAAGTGGTCAGACGAATATGTACAACATGGATTCACATGCATCACGGAACGTGATGGCACTCAGCGTCCTATCGACATGATTTGTCATGCCAAGTTGAGCAACTCCACTCTCGCACTGGCAAAACTGAAGGAAGACTTCTGGAATCATATTTTTATTTTTCACTAAGGGTTCGGTGAATCTGCATGTGAACCGGTTGGGTTCGGTACCTCTAACAAGGTTAAGAAACGCTGCTCTAATGTGAGTCATCGCAAGGCTTCTGCATGACATTTTTTGCATTTTAACTGATGGATGCAGTAAAAAATGAAATTATGCTGTTTTTTATAGTTTTTCACAGTTTCCTACAAAAATGCTTTCATCAAAAAAAAAAAAGTGATTTTGCACAAAAATGGATGGAGAATTAAAAAAACAGGACTAATGGTATTTCCTTGTGTGTTATTTGGATTTGCACCTCAACTTTTAGGGAGAATGCCTGCGTTCCAAAGCATTAGTCTTTCTGATTTAATGATGATGTAACACAAGTTCCCGGAGGTAACTGAGGTGAAAGATCAAGTCTTTGCGTGTTCCTTTTTAAGCTCCACGACACACAATTTTCATTTGGCCTCCTTCAAACCTTCACTGAGTACTTCTGTGTTTCAAACCAAGATATTTGGATGACATTTTGAATCCGCCCCAAGAACCTTGTCAAAGTTCATATTAGTTCTACAGGCGGGACTTGGTGAAAAGTTATGATCTAATTAATTACATTTCTAATTCATTTATCAGTATAAATCACATTTTTATTTAATACAATACACCACAAGCTGGGTTTTTTTTTTTTTTGCTCGACAAATAGAGAGAGGTGAACTCAAAAAGCAAAATGCAGTCACTAAAATCTTCCATTTCCTTCAGGCCACCACAAAACGAATTAGTTATCAAAATGCAATGTTTGGAATAGAAATTGAAGATGTATTTTCAGATCGTAAAATTGACACACAAGTTTATTAATTCAAGTTGGCTACATTCAAGCTTTTGAATGACTTCTTGTCTAAGTACATTCCAGAACGGTGCATTTAACAAACCAACAGTTTAATATTGACTGTCATGTATATGATCTAAATTTGGCTCCAAGAACAAACACACACAAAAAAACCTACACACACACACGCACACACACGCACACACACAACACACACACACACACACACACACACACACACACACACACACACACACACACACACACACACTAAAAGAAAAAAAAAAACGTGTTGTGTTGTGGTCCTTTTGAGGAATGGAAGAGTGTGAGAGCACCCAAGCACTCAGTATGAAGAGTTTAGCTGTGTGACTATTACATGAAATGCCAACCAGATACACTTTAATCCCGTTTATTCTCCCTGTATCATAAACCTTTGCATTTTATTATTATTATTCTTATTTTATTTTTTTTACAAGGCCCGAGCAATTAATTGGCTAGCCGATTAAATCGTCCAATTATGGCCCTTCAAACATCGGTCAGAATTATTTTTACCCTGATGTACTCTAACCATTTACAACACTTGTACACAAGTGAGACTCATCTCATTATTCTTTGAAGATGTAATCTATACAGTGACCTTGTATCCCCAAATACTGACTATATGAAGAAATTTGTTGATCAAGTCATTCTATGGCCATTCAAAACAAAGCATATTGTAGTCGTGACAAGCAATGCTTAGGTTAGCAAAGCAAGATGTGTCAGGCACTGACCTGATGTCACTATTTTACACACACTTCAGTCAGGTTTAAAAAGTAATAATAATAGTAAAATAAAAACATAGTGCAACATCAATCAAACATAAATGTGATACTTGTAACACAAACTTGTTTGGGAAGCATTAATGTCCTTTTCCATCCATCCATTTTCCAATCCACTTATCCTCACGAGGGTCGCGGGGGTTGCTGGAGCCTATCCCAGCCGTCTTCGGGCAGTAGACGGGGTACACTCTGAACCGGTTACCAGCCAATCGCAAGGCACGCATAGGCGAACAACCATCCGTGCTCATAATCCCACCTAGGGACAATTTGGAGTGCCCAGTCGACCTGCCATGCATGTTTTTGGAATGTGGGAGAAAACCGGCGTACCCGGAGAAAACCCACGATTTTATTAAAATCGTCATCGGCCTCACAAAAGTCCTTCCTGGTCGCTCGGGCCCTATGGATATACAGTATATATATATTTTTAAATGAGTACAGAGCTTTCATGTGTGCATCAGAGATGAACTGACAAAGTGCAAAGCAGTGCTAAGCGCTCATGATTGTTCAAGATAAAGCCATGATTTAAAACAATTGTTATTTTTATGGATAGTGGGCACATTTTCGTTAAAACGGCATGATTCTTGCTGTGGGGCCATAAATATACCTGTCACAGGATTGTTTGTCCTACAAACCACATGCAGTAGCGAGGTCGCCCACGTGACAGCTGAGCCTCATGACAACCCACACAAGTATGGAGGCTTTTTGTGTTGACCGTGTTTGCTTACTCAGTAGTCTGTCTCTTTTTTTCTTTTTTTTTTTTTTGGGACAAAGCTGTTTTTGTAATGATTTCCATATTGTGCTGAGTGACAATGGCGAGGTTGTTGAAAGAGGCGTGTTGACTTTGGGTGTATTCATTGTGTGTCATATTTTCCCTATAGGCGGCGTCTGCAACCAGTCGCATCCTGGACAACCAAACGGTTGGAGAGCTGAAAGGCGAGATAGTCTCTTTGAAGGGTTTACTGCTCAGCAGGTAACAAAGTACAGGATCATCCCTCTTGAATCACTTTTGTCCACATATATTTTAATTGCACCTGTTATTTGTACGTTTTCATCTATCCACACCATCTTAGTTTTTAGAAGATGTGTTAATATATTTTTCTCCACCAATTCATATTTGCATTCGTGAAACGGATGTCACGAGCATCATGTTCAAATGTTGTCATCGCCATAGATCCAAACATGGCCGACAATGGGATCATTTTCTTCACTGGATTAAATTGTGAATAGTTACATTTACTTAAGATGACCTTTTTATTGGAATCTGCTTTTTATGATACATATTGTAACATTAACTAGTGGCGGATGCCTGGTGAGAAACAGCGTGGTTATTTACCACAATTCATTTACAGTCTGATATATATTTTTTTTTTCGTAAGGTGAAATAAAAGCATTCCAAATGTCGCCATCATTTCATGTACAGGTCGTCATCTTGCAAGCATCATGCCGCAGTCTTGTTTTGAAGTTGTACTGTTCCAGGAATCGCACAAACATTTATGTTTAGGGGGGAATTAATAAAAGATGAAATGGTCTTCCAAATTAGTCGCACACTTAGACAACCATAAGTGTCAAAAGTGGTTTTGGGGGTATCGTCTCACTGTGGCATTAGAGTTTACAGATTGCACCATTGCTTTTATTTTGCAACGTGCCTTACTTAGCCATTAGCATACCGCGGTCATCAGCATTTCAGCACCGTCTTCATTTTCACACGTTTATGGGTAAACAAGACACCTATTGCTCCCTCCTATGATCTTACTTTTACTCTCACCTATTAGTGAGAGTAAAGTGAAGAAGGTACCATTTAGCTGACGGAAAAAAAAACACTGCTTCCCGATCAAAAGTGTTTTCTCTGACAATGTAGCCGCGACACAGATTCACGACAATATTCATAATAGTGGATCAGTTTGTCCGGTTAAGAGGATTACATTTTCACGGCCTTCCTGAAGTATTGAAGCAGATTGGCCACTGTCGACAGAAGACATTTCAGTTTGACGTCAAAAGATGTGTGGGGCGCCTCATCTTTCATTTCCAAACATTTCCATCTGGATCTGATACACAACTTAGATGGTACCGTTTTGTTTGAATCAGCCTATTTTTCACGTGAGTGAAACATGTTTCTGACGTGGATATTGTGATGCCCAGGTTTGTCCTATTACACCGACTATTCGAACAATAAATTGCACTGGATGTCTCTTCTCACAATCAGGTTCGGGTTTGCTTCGTAAGTTACCGACCAAACATTAGCCATCACCACTACAACACTTTGAAAGAAATTACCGGTGTCCTAACAGAATAAACAGTTGAATGTGGAGAGGAAAGAAAGCGGCAGCAGTCATTGAAAGATCCTTTGTGATTGTAAGAAAGGCCTAAAAAGTTTTGTGACATCATCAATCGCCAGCACAGGGAATGAATGAAGGTCATGAACAAGAGTACGGATGATGTGCAAGAAGAATAAGGAGGCCAGGCTGGAATGGGAGCCCAAATTCAAAAGCATTGCCCAAAAGAGGGTACGAGTCTTATTTCCAGTTGTGAAATGATAATGTTGTGATTCTCTGTCACAGGAAACAATTTCCTTCCACTCCTTCCATTTCGAAGATCCCCTCATGGCAGATCCCCTTGAAGGGGCCCTCGGCATCCAACTCCCAGTCGGTCAACCACAGCAGCAGCGACATTTCTCCCGTCAGTATCGAGTCATCCAACTCCTCCCCTGTGAAAGACGGACGCCTCAGCCAGCGGGATTCGCTGGGCGCGGCACTCGGCGTCAACGGTGATGTCGCGGGCCTGGCCGCGGCGCTGCCCTCGGGGTTGCAAGACCAAGTACGCACCGAGGTGCGAGGAGATGAGGAAGAGAATGACGGCGCTCGCCAGGAGAAGGCGGACGGCGGAAGCATGCAAACTGAGGATCGTCAAGGTGGAGATGGGGAGATGCACAAACAAGAGGACAAACTGAGACGGCCAGAGGATGCTGGCAACGAAAGTCAGGTGGATTAGACACCTGTTCAATTCACTTTTTTGCCCGTATTGTTGCTTACTCCTCCGCTTACACTCTTTCTACTTCTGTCATCCTACTTTTTTCAGCCACACTTCAAATTCAGTGGAAACTGTCCACAAAATGAATTCTCAGAGTCGCAAATAGCAAAAATTTGCAAGTAATGGAAATTAATTATTTTTATTTATTTATTTTTGTTTTTGCAAATATTCCGTTCAAAGGTACAATCTAAGATCATGAGAGATTGCGCCTGGACAGCTTCACAGGGCTCTATGGAAAAGGCAAGAGCAAGAAAGAACCCCTGCTACACCTCTGATGGAGCAAGCAAACGTTTGTTGTGGGATCTCGATATGCTTCGGATTCCCTTTCCAACCTGCAAATTAAACGACAGCATTTTAAGTAAAACACTCTCAGTTATTGACGAGGCAAGTGGAAAAGCTTTGGAATTGAATAATTCCCATCATCTCATTCACAGCTTGGTGCACGGTGCAGCTTTGGGTCAGGAGTCATATGTTCATTTGTTCACTCCAAAAAGCTACCGCAGCGCTTGAAGTGAAGCGTTCGCCGAGTTCCCTTTTGATGGCAATTGGAAAGGACAATCCCGACCAGGGCCGGAGCTTTTAGCCTCTTTTATGTGTGCTTCCGCATTTGGTGTCAGTCTGTCAATAATTCACAAGGCCAAGCGCGGTGGCATTTGGGTGAAATAAAAGCCCTGAAATTCAAGATTAGAATGTGATGAGTGGCTTTGTACGATTGGAAGTGTCAGGATGCTCATAGGCTCAGAGGAGAGTGGTAGATAAATGTTTTTTTTTGTTTTGTTTTTTTTCCGCTGCTTTCCTCTTTCACTGAGGGTTGAATTGTGAATCATGCAGTGTGTTTGTTTGTGCATGGCAGGTGAGGGGGGGAAGCGGGTGGGGCCGCGGGTGTGTGTGTAAGGGGGGGCATATGCTGAACAACCAATGTGCTCTGCTGTATCTGCATCTCCAGCAGAGCTGCTGATTTGGTTTGTGAAGTATGTTAATAATCAAATGATCAACAAATAACAGATGTATTAGTTCATGCAGCTTGAAATGTCAACCAGGCTAAATGCGCAAATCTAATACAGAAAGCCCAGTTGTATTGTGTTATTTTCCGTAACAAGCCCCCTGGTCCAAATTAGGCAGGCCCTCCCACAGTGACTAATCTTGACTGAAAACTGCGCCCGTATTTTGTTATGATGATGCGGTAAGACACCGAGGGCTGCCACAGATGGAAGTAGCAAAATTTGTGTCACTTGTTTTCTCAGTTCCTGTGTGTGTATATGCGTGGAGGTAGATGCGGCAAGTTTATAAAAAATGTCCCGTGATTGAAAAGGAAAGTAATAAATGAATACTCGACTTATTGAATTAGTCACCCTGTCTGCAACTCGAGACGGGTCCATGAGTGAAAAGACAGGATAAATCTCGGCTCTCGCGCCACCTTCCTCTCCCATCGCAAGGCCTTGATAGGAACACACCAAGGTGGAGGGAGGGAGACATCACACGTGTGACAGTAGTTCTGACAAACCAACCACTGTATGTTTGCATCATCTCGCTCTGTACCTAAAGCTTATTAGAAAACTGAAAAAGTCACACTGTCATGTAAGTAAATTCATGAAATTTCGAGTCATTCATATGTTTGAAGGCTATCTAATCATAAAAATGGTTTTCCTTGATATGAACCATGTGTGCTCGTGTTGTCCATTTTATAGGCTACTGTAGCTGTGTCCAAATTTGTAGCCTGGGTCGTCTTCCAAAGGCTGAATTTGTCAGTCACATGACGTATCTTGACGAAACTCAAGCACACGCCGGTGTCCAAAGTCATGCAGTCTTCAAATCTGGCATTCGTTTTTGTGGAGAAGAGCGAAGGATGCATAATTTCACAGCCTACTTTGCTTATACTGTGTGTGTGTGTGTGTGTGTGGGGGGGGGGGGGTATTCCAGTGGTTAGCGCGTCGACCTCACAGTGCAGAGGTGCAGGGTTCGATTCCAGCTCCGGCCTCCCTGTGTGGAGTTTGGATGTTCTCCCCGGGCCTGCGTGGGTTTTCTCCAGGTACTCCGGTTTCCTCCCACATGCCAAAACCATGCATGGCAGGTTAATGGAACACTCTAAATTGTCCCAAGGTGTGAGTGTGGATGTTTGTTCGTCTCTGTGTGCCCTGCGAATGGCTAGCGGCTGGTACATCTGTGTGTAGATGTATTAGTTCTTGCAAGGTAGGATGACCCTTTGATACTGTGGCTCATTTTTGCCCTCCTAGACTAGTCTTAATATTACTATGCGCGATCAAGAGTATGAATTTAATTTACCTGGGTCCCAATGATCAATCGTGTTTCAGGTATCCATGAAGTATATAAACTTGTGTGTGGTTCGATACTCCATGCCTTTGTAATCCATTAACCTCTCCCCGGAGCTGAAGCCAACCTGAGATTTATAGGGACCGACTGTAATAAATCCACTTGTACATCATTTAGTGTCTGTGGGTATTTGGATATTCTTGTTTATAAAGCGGCTTCCATCGACATCACTTAACAACACCGCCGTTTTGTACACTAGTACAACTAAGTGTAAATACATTTGAAGTCATTGTTTTTGCTGTGTTCTCTCTCATTTGGGACAAATTGTTTGCTCAATGCAGCACCTTGCTTTGGACATCATTTTGCTCCCCGGCTGGGAGCCTTAACCTCATCAATCATGCTGCTAAACGGAGAGCACTCAATAGGATAGTGTATTGATGTGCTGTGAACTCTATTGTTCGCTGGAACCGAGCACTCAGCAGGTTAGAGGGCTGAGTATCTCCTTGGATCAATGCGCGCGTTGTTAGGCCAAAGCAAATGCTCAGATGACTTGGTTTAGACCACAACTGTACACTCCTCAATGATACAGAATAGTTCAATATTTCCAGTAGCATCGATGGGAAGTGTCATGAAAAAAAAATAAAACATTCAAAAAAAAATTGTGAATGGTCGCAGACAATTGAAAGTCAACGTAAGGTTCGAATCAAACAACTGAGATGAATTTTGATGTTTGCCTCCTTGTTTGAAAACAGCAAGTTGTGCAAAAAGTACTCAAACAGAAGAGTTGGACAGTTTCATTCAAACATTTCGAGTAAAGATTCTCAGTGTTTCGTTTCATTGTAGTTCACATTACAATGTAGTTAGTTTAGATCTGCTTCCATAAAAACATGATAATTCATTCAGTAAAGTTTTGTAATTGTTCTATAAGGGCCGTGTGAATGTTAACACTGCATAATGTTAGTGTGGCTTACAGTATCACCTCCCTCACTTTTCTAGGTGAATTTTTGCGAATTAGAGGTTGCCTTTTTTTGTTGTTTTTTCTGGTTTGGGGCCGGTTTTGCTCCTGTTATGCCATTAGGAACCCCCACATGCTTTCCACCCTTCTAAACACTTGTTACACATAATATGTAACTTAAAATGCAAAATGAAGAATAAATACTGGCGCTGTGGAAACCAAAAGCCAGCCGCCATGACCACCGTTGGTCCACTTCCGTATGCAAAAGTTCTCCTTCCTCGTTTTCCATTCAAAAGAGATGGAAGAAGAAGAACCGTAGCCACGGCAACGAACCCTCGGTCTCCGCAAGAAGACCAAAAGGTGCATTAACCCACCGGAATTGTATCTTGAGCTATAGCACGCCGTGGGGTTTTCGTTAAGTTAAGCCATTTTAAACTCAAGAACATTTTAACGTAGTTATTAAGCGAATGTCTCGTCCGCTCACGTTAATTTCTGAGCGCTGTCTATCATAGCAGCTCATGCTTCAACTATTTACTTTCGTTATACTGCCTGACACACTGGGCTCCAGTACTTCATGTTTTGGGGCACTCGAAATAACCAAATGGCACATTTGAACAACCTTGTGAGTTTCCTAACAATCTGAATGAAACAGTGCGCTGGGAATGTATTTCCAAGCGCACCAACGATGAGGCAACGGTAATTTGGGTGGTGACGAGCTCTTAATGTTTATGGAAATTAGTTTTACAAAAAGACTATTTCCTATCAAAAAAAAAAAAGAAAAAAATATTTTTTGACTGGTCCAACTTAGAAGGAAGAAAAATAGCAAGAAAACCCGCAATAGATGACGTTATGGTCATAAATGAAAACCCTGCGATAGACTGAAGCCTCATGAATTGAACCACGAAAAAGAGAGGGAACACCGTATTATCATGTTTTCCGCACTATAAGGAGCTTCAGACTATAAGGTGTACCTTTAATGAGTAGCCTATTTTAAAACTGTTTTCATATCTAGAGCTCTACATAAATAAAGCTGCATTGTATTGCATTCCTTTAGCATAGCTCCATCTAGTGAATGTATAATGCTACCGCAGCCACTATTGTAGCTTCTATTCTATGCGCCTTATAATGCGGTGCATAGAATAGAAGCTACAATCGTGGCTGTGGTTGCGTTATGCATCCACTAGATGGAGCTACGCTAAAGGAAATACAATACAATACAGCTTTATTTATATAGAGCGTTCACAACCGCTGCAGCTGTAGCAAAGCGCTTTACAAATCATTTAAAATACTACGTCCAAGAAATCAGAATATTGAGCCATACATAAGTCGCATCGGATTATAAGGCACACTGTCGCAACTGTACTTTGATGGTGGTACTTGGAGAGTAAACGTATATTTTAAGAAGGACTTAGTGTCAAAGCTTTGCGAAGCACTGGTTTAGAAAATCAAATGAAGGTCACCTGTAAAGGTTATAGTGCGTTTTTGGTTCATCTGGAATTTTCAACTGACAGCTGTTGGGAAGTAATATGCGGTCTATACTTTTACTTAATTGCGTAAACGTTCACCTCTTTCATTTCCCCTTAAAACACATGTCAGTGGCGAAACCAGAAACCTCCCAGTTATTCGACCAATGCCATTCCGGCGCCGTAACCCGCTCCGTGTGAAGTGACTAATGACTTTCCTCAAAAGTGTCTTAGTGGTGATGTAAGAAGTCTCTTAAAAAAAACATTTCATGACTGCATCACTAAAACTGTCTCAGGAACAGTCCACAGCTACTCGACACTGGCTCTTTCCTTCCTCGTGAAAACGGCAACATTTGACAACCCAAGGTCGGCCACGGGCAAAGCCCAAGTCGTATAAGCACTTTGTCATCACCTGCTATATAAACACTCCATCCTCTGTCTGCCACGTATCACTTGATTTTGCACTGGCGCTTTTTCAAATCCAAATGTAGAGCATGGATACTCGTGGGTCGGCATGTAAGCGGGTGCAAGGACTCTTCCATGGACGCCGTTCGCTTTACCCATCTTAATAGGCAGGTAAAAGAATGACACGGCCCTTGTCACCAAGACTCTAATGAGCCATCATGCCGTGGTGAGGGAGAAACAAACCGTGGAATGGGGAACAAAAAAATAATAAAAAATAGAGCTCACGGAGCATATAAATCACCGATGCTGTTGTGAGCAGATTGGATTAGCCGCGGGAAGGCCTGTCAGCCTGTAGAGAGACTGCAGCTGCAGGCGGCACGCAGGCAACAGGTGCGTTTTGTGCGTATTGGACTGACCCGCTAGCAGAAGGTGGG